AAAAAATAAATAAATAAAAAAGGAGGAAAAAAGAGAAAAGAAGCAAAACAGTTTTTTTCACAGCAACCAAAAGGAAAATAATTATTTCAATTGAGGGAAAAAACAACAACAACAAAGGTAAATTAAAAAAATGACTTATTCAAAGTTAAATGATTGACATGAAGAGTGATTTCTAATGTTTTTTTTGGGGGGGGGGTTTCACATTTAAGACATTTTTTTTAAAGGTGTATTTTTTCTTCCTCCCACAGCACAACATGCCCTTCTGGAGGATCTCCAGCCATTCAGACCTCATGGCCCTCCACCACGCTCTAGACCTGGAGTACTTGTAGCACTGCACCACCGTCGGTCCGTCCTGCTCCACCCCAGCACACGATGCAACCTTTTCTCTCTCACCCTGCAGCCCCATCCCACGCTTACTTACTGCAGATTCCACGGCTCAGAAGAAAGAACGAGGAAAAAAAAACACCCCTCTTCCTCCCTCAGCCCTCCCACCCCCTGTGTTGCCTGGTGTCTGTCTTCCACTCCAAAGGAAGAGATGAAGAAGAAGAAAAAGAGGAGAATGGGGAAAAAAAGAAGGCTGAGCCCACGGTTAATGTGCTGACATACGGTCACACTTTGTCTTAACCCTAAACTTTTTTTTTTTCCTTCTGGAAGTGAAGGAGTGAGTAAAAGTAAAAGAGAGAGAGAAAGAGAGGTGAATTTACGGCGCTGCAGCTGCTTGCCCTGGTTACTGTGAATTGGCTGCTTTCTGAAGCTGTCAAAGTGTTTTACGGCCTCCTGTTTGTGCCGGGACTCTGTCAGGGTTCACACCTGTGAGGGGAGCAGAGCTACTGAAAGGGCCTGGCCTGCCTGCCTGCCTGCCTGCCTGCCTGGCTTGGCCTCACCTCTCCACTGAACTCAGCTACAGTAAACCGCAGGCTCTCCACAACCTCCCCGGAAACCTCTGCTCACCTACAGCTCTAAATCCTGGGACACAGGGACGGACAAAAGCGGCTGCTCCTCTTTTTACTGCGGGCCTGGGAGTCCTGTGCTTCTTATTTATGAACGGAGACTTTGCGAGTGGTGCCGTGCCACTGAGAAGGTACCTGGACTATGAGAAGACTCGTGCCTTTTTACAAAGTACTATTCATTTCCACCAACACTACGAGACATTTATGGAAGAAACACAAGAAAGTGGGGTTTTCTAATAATTTAAGGACATGACAAAAAACTTTATTTACAATGCTGAAGACAATCGTGTACAGAGGACATTTTTTTGTGTGTGTAAGTTTGTAATCACTGGACTATTCCTTCCTATATTCATTTAGGTTATTGCTCTCTTGAAAGGCGGCATACTTCTTCAGTGAAGTAAAGAAATATATATCTAGGCAAAACAAAAAGTTGTCCCTACGCACATGAGCGTGTCTGATGCCTGAGAAGTGTTGACGTGTTCAAGTTTGTTGGGTAAACAAATATGTAGATAAGGTTGGGGGGGTTTGTGATTAAAGGAAAAATCGTTTTGTCCAAGACCAAAAGCATGGATGTCGAGTGTCAACGACAGTTCGTCAGAAAACTTCAACCTTCACAGAACACAAGACGACTCGTTTCACAGGGAAAGAAGTATTTATTTCACAACTTATGTCCTTTTGGCATTTCATCAACCTGAACCACAAACATTGAAGGCAAACTTAATTCTTAAAAAAAGAAGGGATTTTACAAAAAACAACTTTGTGGCAATTATAGCTGCCTCCTGATAAAAAAAATCCAATATTTAAATAAGCAGGCTTGAATAGGTTTTATTATGTTTTATACAGGCGCTATAATAAAAAAAACTCTTGTACAGCGAGCGCAATTTTGTATGATGTTGTGTTTTATTTCAACGTTGAAAATACATTCTGTGTCCCCGTTTTTGTTTTTTTGTTTTTTTCTGAAGTAGCTGAACTACATGAGATGCTTTCCATAGTGCTTTTACATCTGTGGATGGGGGAAACCATAATGAACACTTAAGAAAAGCCACTAACGTTGGAGGGGTTCGTGAACTGGCCTCACCTCTCCACTGAACTCAGCTACAGTAAACCGCAGGCTCTCCACAACCTCCCCGGAAACCTCTGCTCACCTACAGCTCTAAATCCTGGGACACAGGGACGGACAAAAGCGGCTGCTCCTCTTTTTACTGCGGGCCTGGGAGTCCTGTGCTTCTTATTTATGAACGGAGACTTTGCGAGTGGTGCCGTGCCACTGAGAAGGTACCTGGACTATGAGAAGACTCGTGCCTTTTTACAAAGTACTATTCATTTCCACCAACACTACGAGACATTTATGGAAGAAACACAAGAAAGTGGGGTTTTCTAATAATTTAAGGACATGACAAAAAACTTTATTTACAATGCTGAAGACAATCGTGTACAGAGGACATTTTTTTGTGTGTGTAAGTTTGTAATCACTGGACTATTCCTTCCTATATTCATTTAGGTTATTGCTCTCTTGAAAGGCGGCATACTTCTTCAGTGAAGTAAAGAAATATATATCTAGGCAAAACAAAAAGTTGTCCCTACGCACATGAGCGTGTCTGATGCCTGAGAAGTGTTGACGTGTTCAAGTTTGTTGGGTAAACAAATATGTAGATAAGGTTGGGGGGGTTTGTGATTAAAGGAAAAATCGTTTTGTCCAAGACCAAAAGCATGGATGTCGAGTGTCAACGACAGTTCGTCAGAAAACTTCAACCTTCACAGAACACAAGACGACTCGTTTCACAGGGAAAGAAGTATTTATTTCACAACTTATGTCCTTTTGGCATTTCATCAACCTGAACCACAAACATTGAAGGCAAACTTAATTCTTAAAAAAAGAAGGGATTTTACAAAAAACAACTTTGTGGCAATTATAGCTGCCTCCTGATAAAAAAAATCCAATATTTAAATAAGCAGGCTTGAATAGGTTTTATTATGTTTTATACAGGCGCTATAATAAAAAAAACTCTTGTACAGCGAGCGCAATTTTGTATGATGTTGTGTTTTATTTCAACGTTGAAAATACATTCTGTGTCCCCGTTTTTGTTTTTTTGTTTTTTTCTGAAGTAGCTGAACTACATGAGATGCTTTCCATAGTGCTTTTACATCTGTGGATGGGGGAAACCATAATGAACACTTAAGAAAAGCCACTAACGTTGGAGGGGTTCGTGAACATACAGGACATGTGCTATCGACTGTGAATTTCTTAAGCAGAAACCCACTCGTTGTGTTTCGAATGTTTTTTTTTCCCTTCTTTGCACATGAGCACTGCAGGCCTTTACATTTCAATTTGGATTCCCCTCACTCCCTCTGCCCCTCCCTTCATCTACCCCAAACTACAACTATTCAGCCCCTCCCACTGTGCTGCGGGGTATCTACATATTGCTGCTAGGTCAAGGTAACGGTAGGTTAATAGAGGAAATGTTTTATAGATTCATACAGCACGCTTTTTTGTAATTATGTCGCAATCATAAATGCAAACTGGAAATACTTTACACTACACAGGCCTCATTGTGAAAAGTAAGAGATTGTTGTGTCTGCAAAATATGTGTACAGATGTTTTGGACATTATTATTTGACTGTGTTTAAATTAATAAAACTGATTTGTGAACTGTTAAATGATGCTTAGTGATTTTGTTTTTGTTTTAAAAATAGTTTATTCTTGACATTTTGTTACTGGTTTGTAATTGTATTTATAATATATTTCTGTTTTGTTTTATCCAAGTCTCCAATTTGAGTAAAATGTATTAAATATTTAGCAAAAAAAATTGTTAGACCAAAATAATTGTTACATTTTTGCTAAATTACAGCCAATGATATGTTAAAGAATAATAGAGCTCCCAAATGAAGTTAACTGTTAAATTATTACCCATGATGCAACAGAATAGTATGTGACACTACTGTTGTACAATAAATCTGTCTGACATGAAAAGGTGTGAAATCAAACATATTTCATGTCTAAACTGCCAGACAGGACAGTTAGAAAAATGTTATATGTTATTATACAACTGTCCAATGGTGGCTTTAAAAAAGATACTGAAATCTCAAACTATTAACAAGTGATTCAATCAATAGTAAAAACTAAATTCATCTTTATTAAAAAAAAAGCAGCTAATAGATTTCAAAAAGGATATTTATTAGTCCATAAAAACAAGTTACTACAGTTAACACCAAAGAAAAGTTTCAGCAAATATTAAAAAAATGCTTTTGTGTCTTTTCAAAATGCATTTTGCTTTTTGAAATAAAGCTTTTGTGTCAACCTGTTATCTAAAATGCTTAAACAAGAGATTAATATTAGCATGTTGCAAGATGCGAAATATTAGCTAAAGATTTCAAAGTTAGCAAAGTGTAGCCTAAATGTGCCAGAGGTCAGTAAACGTTTGATTATAAATGTTAAAAGTTTGCAAAATAAAATTACCAATATAGCTAATAATTAGCCACTGTGTTAGCTCACAGCCGTGATTGTATGAGAATTATTAGGCACAGTGTTCGTAGCATGTCATATTTTGGTTGTGTTCTGGTTGTAGGACGCCTGTGTTGTGTGTTGTTATTTGGGGAATGACATTAGTCTGTGCCACTAATGTCCTGAGACTGACACTGATGTCACAGGCCTCACTCTCTAATCCCGGCAGGAAGCACAAAGAAACTGGAGCTGGTTCAAGTCTAGACCAAACATCACATGCTCCCACATGCTAATCACATCCTTTAAATCCACACAATGGCCGCCATAAAATTCTCTGTTACATCGAGGTTGGCTTCTGCGTTGCAGACGGTGTGACTTCTTGACCAACACAGTGTTCTTTACATTATGGGTTAGTGTTTTTTATCCCATGAGCAAAAGGCCTTTTTTTTTGATTGCCTCAACAATGCGTAGCCTGCGTCATACATTCTTGAGGCTGCTGAAGTCCAGCCAGTGCCCAGAAAAACAGCGGTAACAGCTCCGGCTGTGTAGCACAAGCCTCCACGCACAATTTACATACATGAAACCACTTCAAGTCACAAAGAGTTTTGGTTCATTTTTAATAACGCATGAAAAATATTTATGAGGCTCACTTTATGAGGTGGTCACAACTAACACAGCGCGGCGTGTAACACTAGCCTGGACAGGGAGAAAGGGTCCAGCCTCCAAAACCACACTGGAGAATTAAGCATGCACGGAATTTTATTCAGAGGCGTTTAATATCAATTATATTCTCATATGGAGTGGGGGTGGTGTCACAAGCATGTGTGTCTGCCAGGTTGGATGGAATGTAGCAGCAACAATGGACCTAAATGTGCTTTTCCTACTGTGGAGCAGCTGAAGGACTGAGTAGTGTCTGAGGTTCTCTGCTGAGAGCTTCCACTCTCTGTGTAGCACAGAGGAAAGCTCTGTTCTCTTTGATACGTTTTCCTGATGCTCA